GTGTGGTTAAATGAAAGACAAAGTTGATTCATGTGACATGGTGATAGTAGAGTGCATAAGTGTACCTCATTATACACTTTTGAATGCTTGAGTGAAACACATTTTGAGTAAAACAATGGAGATGTCATGAGTTGCATCTGTTGTATGTGGGATAATATGAGCATCACAGTCAATTTGATTGACCAGTGCATCAATAAATCTTGACTGAGATGTGTATGATAAGCAGTTGTGGGTGATTACTTGTCTTGGAAGAAAGTGTTTGTGATATGCTAAATCATTGAAGTGTTGTTTAGGCTAAATTACATTTTGTTTTGCTTGAGGACGAGCAAAGTTTCAAGATTGGGGTTGTTATAACGGTTGATTTCACCGTTATTTGAGAGTAAATTTTAATATCAAATGAACCCTTTTTGACTTAGAAACTTGTTTGTTCTCTTAATTTTGGTTTATTTTGAGAAATAAGAGAGTTGAAGTTACACTTGAAAATTTTATCACTAAATCTCCTTGGTTTTGTAGGAAATTGGGATGAATTGGAAGAGGAGTTAAGTTGTCAAGAAGTTGCAACTCATAAAGGACAGAAAGAGAACCAAAAGAGAATGTTTCAGAAAGTCGTACTTACGCTTGGCCGCCCCTTTCATGACCCTCAGCGCTAGAGCTTCGCAGTCACGCCTGGGCACCCTTTTCGGGGCTCTGAGTGCCATTCTCTCGCAAGCACACCTAAGCACCCTAAGTAGGGGCACTAAGCGGTGGCAACGTTGGCCCATGGCCCAATTCAGCGTTATTTAAGGATTAGCTCGACCTAGAGAGGGTATCTCTTGATATAATTGACACAAATTTATATTTTCTCCAACTTTCTGAAGGCGGAAGTGGATGCAGAATCTCTCCCCTTCAGGTTTTAGGGTTTTCCTATCTTTTTCATTCCATTGTTCATCTAGTTTCTCCATGACGATGGAGAACTAAACATTCTTTGTTGTTAGGGGATGATGTAACCTTGTGAACTCTCATGTATTTGAATTGATTCTTATTTATTTAAGCTTCTTTCATTAATTGTTAGGGTTATTCTTCTTTGCACAATGCTTGTTATGTTTAACTCATTGATGGCATGATTGTTGGTTTTCGTGATATGGACATATACGAGGAAACCTGGATCTGGAAAATTACTCCTAAATGCAATATTGCCTAGACATAGAGATATGAGTTTTGGTTATCTTAAGCTTTTGTGCGTATGTAATGGAAAATTAATTGCTGGGAGACAAGACATTGTAAACTAGTAATTAAGGATAGGCTTTCTTTGTCGAGACATCGGGTTTTAAGTAATTTAGATAGTGATATTAACATTAACGAAGAAGATGAATTCATACATGCATGAGAGGAAACTTGGTGAAATCTAAACCCCAAAAACATATTCATCTCATATTTTCAACATCATTCATTCACCTTTGTGTTTTTCTTTCAATTGGTCAAAATTTCATTCATGTTTATTTTTATAACATTTTCATTCAAAACCCCTAAATTGTTCTTCAAAAGTCTTTATTAATTGGGTAATCATATAACTGTTTAGTGTCATGAGTTCTTTGGGAAACTATACTTGGTCTTACCATTTATTATTACTTGATACGATTTGGTACACTTGTCGACATCTTAACAAGTTGTCACTCCTCTGAGGAGCCCTGAGCGCCACTCCTCTCGCATGGACGCCCGATTGCCCTAAGTTGGGGCGCTGAGTGCCAGCATGTTGAGCTTGGACCCGTTTTCTGTTATTTTTCTTATCTATTTAAGGACTTGGACGTCCTAGGGATGGTATCTCTTGATGGCTTGAGCACAAAAACACATTTTTCGCCCCTTGGAGGCAGATTTAGGGATGTGGGAGCTCTCCTCTTCAGTTTCTAGGGTTTTTCTATCTCTTTCATTCCATTGTACACCTAGTTTCTACATGAAGATGGAGAACTAATCTTATTTGTTGTTGGGGAAGATGTAACCTCTAAACTCTCATATATTTGAATTGATTCCAATCTATTTATGCTTATTTCATTAATTGTTAGGGTTATTCTTCTTTGCTTTATGCTTGTTATGTTTAACTCATTCATGACATGATTATTGGTTTTCGTGATATGGACAGATACGGGGAAACTTATATCTAGAGAATTTCTCCCAAAAGCAGTATTGCTCAGGGATAGGGATATGAGTTTTGGTCATCTTAAGTTTTTAATCGTAATGCATAATTAATTATTAGGGATGCAAGGGATTGTGGTATAGTAATTAAGGATAGGCTTTCTTAGTCGAGCGATCGAGTTTTAAGTAATTTAAAGAGTGATGTTAACAATTGAATGAAGAAGATGAATTATTATATACATGAGAGTAAACTAGGTGAAATTTAAACCCCGACAACATACCCATCTCATAATTTCAATATCATTCATTCCATTTATTCTTGAGTTTAGCCTCAATTGATCAAATTGCATTCATGTTTATTTTTATTGCATTTGCATTCAAAACCCCAAAAATTGTTCTTAAGTCTTAATTAGTTAAGTAATCACATGACTGTTTAGTCTCGTGAGTCTCTTGGAAAACGATATTTGGTCTTACCATTTATTATTACTTGATACGATTCGGTACATTTGTCGACATCTTAATAAACATGTTGCGTTTATTGCTTGGTATTGGTATGCTATTGAATAAGGAATTTGGGTTTCTGATTTATTTTGATTCATCAAAGTACAATTGGGTTTTTTATCAGTGCATATTGCTTTTCCTGATGCTCTTGTATTGTAGTGCATACCTAATTAGTTCAATATTTAAATGAATAAGTTTTATCAGAAACTACATCATGTGTCTATATGTATTGCACTTATACATGGGAAGGTTGACTTGATTTTTAGGATCTCTTTTAAGGGTTTTTATTCACGAATCAAAAGGATTCATATAATTTTGTAATTTAAACTTGATAGAAGTATTTTAAGTGTAGTAAATACTATTTTTTATTTCAATAATTTGAGAATTCCAATAAATTTTGCATTGCATTTAAATAATAAATAATTCCAATAATAAATAATTCAAAGTATTAAGTGTGTTGATATAGGAAGGAAATTATCATATACTATGAAGGAAGGACAATTGCAACTTATGTAAGTTATTTTCATTATCATAATTAATTTGTAGTACAAATTTAATTAACTAATTTTATATTATTTTTCTTTCTTGTAGTATTTTTTTAGTTGTAGATGGTAACAATGTTGGGACAATCAAATAATGGATGTTGGGAAAGATTGATGTTTACATGTAATTAGTACATGCTTATGGTTGTATATATTATCTTATAAAGCAATGTCATGTCATGATACGTACTAGACGACTTAACAATTATATTTTGAAATATTATTGTACAAATAGTTTTTATTCATATTAATAAACATTCTTTTTGAGACATTTGTCATATTTATCTTAATATTTAATATTTTATTGTATATAATAGAACTAATAGATAGTGTGAGTTTGCACATAATAGAACCAATATTTTTTTTTCTTTTCAAAAAAATATTTTATATTTTTTGAAATATTTTATTCTAAAATTAATTATTTTCTTTTAAAAATTTTAGACCAATAGATAGCACTTTTTAAGCACTATCTATTGGTGGATGACAATAGATAACACTTTTTTAAAAAAAGCATTATCTATTGGTAGTTGACAATAGATAACGCTTAATTAAAAAAGTACTATCTATTGGTGGTTGACAATAGATAACACGTAATTAAAAAAGCATTATCTATTGACACTTAAAAAAGCGCTATTTATGCACATTTTTGTAGTAAAGTTAGTTTGAGAAAACACCATTATGTTTGGAGGATAGGAGTGTTACAATTTCAAGTGTGATTCTAAGTCCCAAATTGGGTAGATATGGGAAAGTAGAGCATTATATAAAGGTGAAGACCCATTAACCCATTGCCTTAATGTTTTAGGTAAAGAGTGGTGTCAATGCCTTTTGTGGTTGGGCTTAGATATCATTAGTATTGTATCTCCCCAATGAACTCCCTCCTTTATAGATTGGTATTAAAGCCATGTTAGGCTCAGATGCGAACAATGGTCGTTAAATCGAAAGTCTTTCTAGCAAAGTGTTCTCGGTAAACATGTCTCGTTAAGATGAACGGTAGTATGAATAGGGGTACTTGAATGCTTCCATTGGAGAGGGAGTGTACCAATGTGGAAGGGATTCACCCTTGAAGGGGGAGATTGTTAGAATTCCAAAGGTGATTCTAAGTCTCACATTGGGTAGAAATGAGAAAGTAAAACACTACATAAAAGTGAAGACCTATTAGGCATTGCCTTAAGGTTTTGGGTAGAGAGTGATGCCAATTTCTTACGTGATTGGGCTTAGATCTCATTAGTGTTGTATCTCCCCAATGAACTCTCTCTCCTCTATAGACCTAATAAGAAGAACTTTGCTAATTACGTGGAATGTTTGGAGAGTAAGAGTGTGTTGCCTAGGTCATCCAGTGTAGCCCTAGTTTATCTTGTCCTACCTTTTGGAATACATCTTTGTGTATTTGGTAAGAGATCCCTTCCAAATCCTATATAAGGGAACCTCTCCACCATTTCTAAAGCGCTGAATAGTTTGAATAGAGAGTCTATTTTCCTCAACCGCGTGTGTGAGAGTTTAAAAAGTGATATTTAAGTGTTCTTGAACTCCCTTGTGTCATCTTGAACCAAGGTTCAAGTGGTTCTATCCACCACTCATCTTGTACTAAACCATCGGTGTGCCACATCTCCTTCTTCTCTCCATTTCTTTCAATCTATTGCTTCTTTTATTTCATGTCTTTATGTTCTTATGCTCTAATGTTCACGTCCTTTTTATGCTCTTTCATTGTTCTTATATATGTCCGTTTCAATTCCTTAATGGAATCATGTTTTTTTTTGGAAGGGTACCTTCATATCTATATAACCTCTTAGATTATTTTAATGTTCAGTAAAAAAATTTCTTATCTTAATTACTAACACCATTAACTTGTAATATTGAAAACATAAGATGGGAATCTTATCCATTTGTCTATGCTAATTTCTTACAATTAGACAAGTTGTGCTCACACACAAAATGCATGAAGAAAATAAGAACATGGTAAGTTAAAAGTTAGGGACAAAATGAAATATTCAAGTATAAAACGATCAAATATACCTTCTAGATCAAATGAAACGTCAAGAAAGCTGGTATCGGAAGAGAAGACAGAGTTTGCTTCCGCTGGGTAATCTATTTCAGCTCCAATGTCTTGTCCACGGTCTCTCAAGTTTTCTAAACCTTCAATTCCCACGTTATCTTCCTTTTCCTCAGCACTAAAATTTATTCCTGATTTTGAAGCATTCCTGACAAGCATTTGTTTTTGGTCAGACTTCAAGCTGATTTCTTGATTTGTGTTATTGACCAGTGTAGGTGGAAAAATTTGACTTTTTGAGTCATCGCTACGGTTAAACCTCCTATTGTCATGATCAATGTCATTTGCGCTGATGTTTCTATTTCCATGCCTCTTCATTGAGTTTTGGGAGGATAAAAGGAAAGAAGGCTCCTCATTGTGGTGAAAGTAAGATTTCAAATTAGGCATTGATAGAAACCTTTTGAAGGATTTTGGGGTCTTTAATGTAGAATTTGCCTTTTGTTCTTTGATTCTTGAGTTTTCAACCCTAGGATACTTGGCTTCACTATTAAAACAAGTATCGTACAACTGCGAATATCTTCCAATTGATTCTTTGAGAGAAGAATTCCTCATGGGTGATCGTTGATGCTTGTTGAATGACATAGAAGAGAGACGGCTCTGAAAACCACTTGTTGAACTTTCTTCACCTTCCCCATTGACTGTGGGATCTTTGGACATGTCATGAATCAACTTCTTCATATTTTTTGTAAGTCTCTTTCCCCGAGGAATTTTGTCAAGTATGGCATCCATGGTAATGCGACGCCTTTCATTTCTTCCCTCTTCAATTAAGCGCCTCATCTTATTTCTAAGATCCTTGAAGTGACTAGTTCTCACATTGTTGGGAACCTGGGGTGAAACTGGTGACGAATTAGGATCTCTTTCACCTACTCGATCGAAATTATGCGAAGAACTACACGGTAAACAGTAATGTACGGATTCATTTGGCTTTGGCATGTTACTTTGAGTTTGTATGTTCTTTTTTTCTGCAATTAACAGATCATCTATCATTTGGTGTATGAGTTGACCTGGATCAGAATCTTACTTTCCAGATGATGAGGTAGATACAGGAAATGAAAGAGATCTGGTTCGTCTAATATTAGCTTTCGAAGATTGTTGGCGATTAGTGTGAAATGGCAAAGGAGAACCTGGATCCTGTATATATTCCAATAGAAAGTTCTTGTTTGCGTTTATCACATCCAATGCATCAAGAAAGTCCCTGAAGTGGTGGGGTGAAGCATCAGTTGTGAGTATCTTGGCATTAAACAACTTCTCTTCCGGGCCATCTTGAATAGGAGAGCTCAAGTGTTTATGAATCTTGCTTTGCTCCAAAGTGTCACTAGAAAACAATGTACCACAAGCTACGCATTTGTCATTCTTGGCAATTGGTTTATCAGAGAAAACTGGTGATAACACATCCAGTGTGCCTTCTGCAAGATGGTTCTGAAAGGTTCTTAGAACTGGTTCAGGGCTCTCAACAGTTAGTAACAATTCACTAAGTGGGTCAACCTCCAAGTTGTGAACAGAATCAGCATGAGGTATTTGCAGTGATGTCTTTGCAGGGCAAGTTGAGCTTCTCTTGTGTCGACCTTTCCTTTTGTATATATCTTCATTGAGAAGTGACCTAAATCGGGATTTGATAGAAGAACTTTTGGATGGAGAAGGGGACTGTACCAAACATCAAATTAGATTCTACTTTTACAATATTCCCCTTATCAACACAAAAAAAAACATGTAATGCTCCAAAATGCACGATGACAAAGTCAGTATTAGAATCAGTAACACTCAACAGGGATTACGATCTACAATAAAATAAGCATTCTAAATGGAAAATATGAACCAATAATGCATGATAATAATATACTGAAACGACAAGCAACAACCCAAAAATATACTGAAAGCAACCAACGTATTCTAGTTTACTTACATTAGAAAACTCTGCACATGGTGTACAATTATCTGGCTTAGAGTTAAGTCCAGAATCATAAGAAGTTCCTGGCCTTTCAACTCCTACAAAGTGAAAGAAATTGTGGCACATAATTGTTATATAAAGTATATGATAGAATTGATAGATTTATTCTTGTGCTATACACAATATATAGCCAACTTCAAAAACAGAAACATCTAAAATAACAGAAATAAAATACTATAGACCAAGACTTATTCAAAGCTAACAACCTCCAGTATTCTAGTAACAGCAGAAGTTTTTCACATATCTAATATTATTCTCACCTTTAAACTGAATTGTCACACATATTCAGTCTACATTTGTAACCACCCCTAACTCCTTTCTCATTCGAATAAAATCTTCCAACTTAAGTGGCTTTGTCATAACAACTGCTAAATGTTGCAGTTCAACAATTTCATTCCTTGTAAGATTCCTTAGAAAATGAAAGCGTACATCAATGTGTTTGCTCCTCTCATGCATAACTAGGTTCTTTGACAACTTGATGGTAGAACTATTGTCACAGTAGATAATCGTAGGACTCGTTTGATTTCTTCCCACTGTTTCAAGTATGCGTCTAAGGCATACAACTTGACAGGAACTTGCAGCTGCTGTTATAAAGTCCGCCTTAGTTGTTGAGTGACTCACCATTGGTTGCTTCTTTGAACTCCATGAAATAGAAGCTTTACTCATCATGAAAACATAGCCTCATACGCTTTTTCTATCCTCAACGTCTGGCATAGTCACTGTCCGTATAACCAATCAAATTTTTTCCTTGATTTCTTTGATAGAGTAGACCAAATTCGCAAGTTCCTTTGAGGTAACGCATGATGTTCTTTGTTCCTTGAAAATGAAGCTCCTTTGGATATTCCATAAACCTACTAACTTGACTTACACTATACATAATGTCTGGTTCTGGCAGTTGCGTACATTAAACTCCCGACCACGTACAGAGTTTATAGAGTGTTGTATCAACTCCCTTTCCTTCTTCACCTTTGCCTAATTTGCTTCCAGGAACCATTGGATTATGAGTAGAATTGGAATTTCTCATGCTAAATCTCTCTTGAAGATCTCTCACATATTTCTTTTGAGACACAAAAATACCATCAACTTGCTGTGTTGCTTCAAGACCGAGGAAAAACTTCATTTTTCCCAGGTCAGACATAGCAAATTCAGACTGCATTAATTGCTTGAACTTCATCATCAACTCATCATCATTCCCTATATAAATCAAATCATCCAGATACAAACGTACTACCATAAAGCTGTTATATGCCACTTTAGTGAATAACGTGGGTTCATATTCACATTTTACAAAAAAAAGGCAATTTACAAACGGATTATTACATACAGATTTTAATTTATATGTAATGAAACTGTTACATACGGATAGTGTCTTGGTTAAGAATTGTCTCGAGAATAAAACGATCCAAAGGCTTGAAAATTATAATTCTTCGCTTTCAAGTCCTTAAGCTTTTATTCATAAATATGATGATGTTGTGCCTCAGTGGATGTCGTTCCGGCTGATGCACCAGAAATTCCTATTTCCACAAAATCGCAAAATTCTTTGGAACGGAGAAAATTCGCCATCAACATTGGCCAATGGTCATAGTGACCATCAAACTTAGCAATTATAGGTTGTACAAAAGTATTTTCTGTCATCACCCTTTGTTAGCTAGCTGCTGCTATGCTTTATCAGGCCTATGAGAGGCTCTTGATACCACACTGTTATATAAAGTATATGATAGAATTGATAGATTTATTCTTGCGCTATACAAAATATATAGTCAACTTCAAAAACAAAAACATCTAAAATAACGGAAACATAATACTATAGACCAAGACTTATTCAAAGCTAACAACCTCCAATATTCTAGTAACAGCAGAAGGTTTTCACATATCTAATAATAAGAAGTGGAAACAGAAACATTGAGACATATCAACAAAAAATGTCAGAATAAACCAATGGTTCTATATTATTTTATTTGTCTCCGTTTTGTGGTGTCATGTGTTATAGTCTGGTAAATTTTATCTTCCACTTTATAATAGTAAATATTTGGCTTTAAAGTTGTGACTTACTTTCATCAGGTCTTCCACCACCATGCCTTCTGTTTGTAATCCTTCTCTTGACCTGTCGCCAATGATGGTACTTCATAACATGAAGAATTCCCCAAACTCGTCCTGGATGAGTATGATGGCTACTACTGCAATTTCTACTCGGCAACGCGCACTCTTTCTCACGAATTCTCTTCCCCATAGCTACCCAGGTTCAGTGTGATTATTAATTTAGGAGATCAAGTGACACACACGACATCCATGTCACACAAGAGTATCAATAATTGACCTGTTGAACAAGTTATTCTACAAGTTCAGTATTATCAACTTGTACAAACTAATGCATTGGTGAATTTTGTATAAAAGGGCTAGGCAGAAATTTAGAGAGAAAAAAAATCGTTTCAGGTGTATGAGAACAATAAGACCCCAATATTGATTTAGATTGCACTATGATGTTTAATCTTAATCAATAGGAATTACTAGTGAATAATGTAGAGTTAATATATGTTTAAAGAAAAAACATGAGTAGGGAAGAACAAACCTTATCCACAACATGCTCAAATTTTCTGTCGTGTGTCCAGAGAAATATCAAATTTCTAAGAATTATTGAGATCGAAGAATTTCTGGATCACTGAGGAAAACGAAGAGAATCAATCAGATCTACATTAGAATTTTTTTTTCCATATCATCACCATTGACCTTCGTGTGTAAATCCATAGTATTAGCAATTTAGATATGCATGCGTCTATGATCATATAGAACAACCTTACCTCAATATATCCATAACCAGGACCAAAATATTGGCTTGTGCAAATGAATGTGTATTGGTAGTGAAAAAGAAAGTGGCATGTACAATAAAAATGTTAATTCTGTAATTCTAGCTCTGACACGTGACAGATATAATAAATGGTGTAAAATTGTTCTTAGAAATTAAAAAAAAAAAAAAAAAGAAATGGTGTAAGAATTAAATATTTTGTGAATTCTGACAGACAAGAAATAGAGAGAGACTAGATAAAGACAACCAAATAAAACAACCTCTTCTTAATCTTATTTTTACTTTTTAATTTTTCAATTTGAAATTTAAAACTTCAAATTCAGTAGTGTTTTGATGATAAATTCAAATTTATCAAATAGGAACATTTTTATGAAATAAATAGATATTGGAAGATTTAAAATTAATTACTTTACTTATCTTTGATGATAATTCTTTGGTTGGAGGTAGGTTACATTTCTTTTGTATTTCAACACAATCATATTTTAGAAGGAAATAATCAGTTAACTTATAAAAGCAGTGCGATCACTAGTAAAAAAAATGGGATTTGAAAGCGCCCCATACGCATCGGTTTAACCCCACCCGAAGCGTATAAAAACGCGGTGGCAGATCTGTAAATAAAGCTACCCTATATGCCTCGGTTTCTCTAACACCCGATGTCTAAAGCCATATACGAACTCGGTTCTGAGCAGAACCGAGGCATATGTGTCTGCCAGCAGACCTGTCAGCTGACCTGCCAGCACCTGCCACGCGCTACTAACTCGGTTCTACGAGAACCAAAGCGTAAGGCTCAACATACTAACTCGGTTCTCTCCAAACCGAGGCGTAAAGCTCAACTTCGAATCCGGGTTTGGGAAGAACAGAGGCATATCTCTCTACTTCAGACCTGCCACCACCTACCATACAAGACTTGCGAGGCTACCAACTCGGTTCTGATGAGAACCGAGGTAGTAAGTATGGTTCAAACCTGAAAAAAGTTTTGCCAACCTCTGAAGTTTCAGACATTTCAGCTTCTGTTTATGCACCGGTTGGTTCTGGACCGAGGTGGTAACGGGTTTATGCCTCGGTTATGTGACTGATGACAAATTTATGAACACCGAAATACGGCGCCACAAACTTGTTTAACAATCGACAAGTGTGACTCATTGAATAGTTAAACAATGCAAGCCTTGAGCAAAGAGGACAAACCCTAACTATGATTCAAAGAAAGCAATATGTCTTAATTCAAAGAGTATCAAACAAATCCATATATGAGGCTTCATTCAAGAGATTACATTGTATCCCCAACAAACACTAAAAAGGTTTTTCACCATATTCATGGTGAACCCTAGATAAAAGAATAACAATGAAAGTAATGAAAGAATAACCCATAAAGGTGAATAGGTGCCTGAGCATCCAATAAGATCCTCCTTCAAGGGTGCAAGAGAGAGTGTTTGCCTCGTTTCTTCCAAAGATACTAACTAAAGGACGTGCAAGCCCTATATACTAATCTGAGTACAAAAGATCAAAAGCCCAAGCCCCAAAAGTGCCCGCCAGCGCCATTTACCCCGCTCACGGTGGTACGCGTCTCTTTGCTTTCCTCAGCGGCCATTGCCCCTCATCGGTTCCAACAGCCACCTCTTGAGTGCCGCTCAGCGGTAGTTGGCCGCTGAGCGGTGCCTTCGACTTCTCTTTTTGCATCTTTCTTGTCTTTCTAATGTCCTCTCTCTCATTCTTCACTGCTTTCCCCAAATTCACCTCAACAACCCTGTCACAAAACAACTCAAATCAGCATACACCTGTCCAACTCTCTTATTTCTGAAAATAAAACAAATGCATGATTTCAAGCTAGTTTCTAAGTCTAAAGGTTGCTTTTAGTATCACTTTTAAGCATGAAAATAACAGTTTTTCAACTGTTATCA